CATTCCACGCGGCTATACTGTGCACACAGTTTCAGAGATTTACCCGTGCAATTGATGTTATGGCTTTCACCAAATGACCGTATTCATGATCAAGATCACCCAGTATTTGGTAGACTAATATGAGATCGCCGCGCCTCAGCCTTTGATGGTAGGGCAGATTTCGTAAGCGCTTGACGTTCTTTGTGGCCATGCGTTATGGTTTCTCCAGCACATCTAAGTTGCACTTCAACCAAGGTTGCCAAGCTTGGATGGTGTATTCACCTCAGGGCGCAAGTAAGAATTGTACATCATGGGGGAAGCTGGATGGGTCGAAACTTCGGAATACTCTCCGCAGCAAGCAGACGTGTTAGCTCAATTTACAGCTGCCTCTGACTGCCCTGAATAGTTAATATCACTTTGAACAGGCATACCAAGTTCGCTTTCTTGGGAAGTTGTTTGCAATATATGGGACCCAAGCTTATACAAATAGTTATGTCTACATCGCAATTGAACAGCTTGATAACTTTCCACTTTGAACGGTAGGGTCTTCAGAACCTACCAGTTTGAAATCGCGTTGATGTCACGCTGGAGCTTTTTGTGATCATTCGGTTCTTTGATCGCACGCAATAAGTTTATAACGCCCGCGAAGAATAGGAAATCGGAAGTAACTTCCCTTACCAGGTCGTTTATGAAAATCAAGAATAGAAGGGGCCGGAGCAGCGAGCCTTGTGGTACGCCGAACTCCACCTCAATTGCGTCGGACAAGGCTTATCACACTCTCACTTCCAGCCGAAGTGCTTGCAGAAAATTGTCCATCCAACGAAGCAGTGGGTCACCAATACCATAGAGCGGAATTTTATAGAAGGTAATTCAATGGTCTAAGTGATCAAACGCTTTTGAGAAGTCCAGGTAAGTGATACCGACTCCTGCTCACCATCAAGTGCTTCAGTCCAGCTATCGCATGCAGTTAGCAGCTTCGTAGAATATGAGTGTTTTTATCGGAAGTCATGTTGCTCTGGTACAATGATGTTGTGATTTTCCAGATATTGCATGAGTGCAGCCGCTATGATAAACTCTATAATCTTGGAAAGCAGAGGGAGTGGCGTTATCGGACGGTAATTGCTTGGGTCAGTGCGACTACCTCCTTTATGAAAAAGAGTGATGACCACTCGCTCCCAGATTGTTGGACTACGGTTCTCCTCCATACAGTGCTGATAGAATATAACCAGAGGTTCCACCAGACCACTGGCTGCTAACTGTAAAGCATTCGGTCGAATGTTGTCAACACCAGTAGAGCTGTGAATATGCAGGGACAACAGTATATTTGACACAGTTTTGGTATAAAAGAGATTTGGATAAAGCTGACGGTGGGACAATAGAAACATGGACAACCGTTGGCCCAGTTACTCTGTGGAAAGTTCGTAAACAATGGAATCGTAAGAGATTGGCTTCTTCCGTTACTGGTCGCGTGCACCCCTCAGTCTTGACCAGTGCAAGAATTCCGCGTTGCATCTTACGAATGTAGTGGCAATGAAGGCAAAGATCACTGGCAGAACGGACAAGCTGCGAAAACTAAGGAAGATGAAAAGCAATGAGGACAAGTGGGACGAAAGTCGACGAAGCACCTCGAGGCCTATGAGATAAGCCGGAAATGGACAACGAACGACAAACGATGTTAGGCCCAGGCCGAGAAGAGCGGGGGACGTATTGGTGAACAGTCCAAATTTCCGGAGAGATACGCGTTTGGCCGCGCCTCCAGGAATAAGCACGAGGAGAGCGACTTAGCCCTGATTAAGCAAGTCAAGGGCATTAGAACGAATCCAGCCCGGTCAGAATAGGACGTGCGGAAGCAAACATACTAGAGTAAATCGGCAAGCAGATGCTTCACTGACCGACTGAAGTTGAGGCAGGAAGGTGACGCCGAGCCAAAGGACTATGTGTAGTGCGTGGTGCTCGGGAAATGTCCTCTATACGTGAGTGCGTGCGTGCTTGCTGTGAATCCGTTGTGCATTGACACTAAAGACTGTGCGCCCCTACAGTCATTCTCCGTACACGACGGTCATTTGCTTGTCTGTATTTAAGTTTGCGTTTCGTGCGGAATCTCTTCATTAACTCCTGCTGATTCGTCACCAAATCCCCGCGGATCAAGCCCACATAACAATTAAGGTTTACCAGGTAGGCAGGTGTTTTAGGAATTCGGGGAGCCCTTGAGTGCTCTCCACGCTAAGTCCTTCAAGGACATGCATTTGGGTGCTCAGCTCCTCAGAAATTATTTGCTTGTCCTTTGACGATGGAAAGATTTACCAGTGTGTTAAATGTCCTTGTGAAAGTGTACCAGGCGATTTCTGGGGGGGGGGTCAGTTAAGAAGGTTTTAGTTACCTTAACAAGCGCGGATAACATGTTGTAGTACGCAACTGTAGACACTTTATCATTCTCTTCCTTAGGATATTCCGCCTAACATACATAGTTAGACATCAGAGTAACCTGGTCACTGCGACCCAGGACTGTGCGTGTAATTATTCCGGCGATCATGGTTTCTACGTTGGTGAGTACAAGATTACGTATCGACGGCTTGATAGCAGTTCAAAATCTGCTGGGAGAGGTCAAGTAATTGTACAGAGAATAGCTGGAAATTACCTCTTGTAAACAGGCTTTAAACTGCATGCTATCAGTCCCTGCTAATTCCAGGTCGTGCGCATTAATATTGGCTGTGATCAGAATGGGAGCGGAGGACTCGCTCAAAGCAACCTGAAAAACGTGGTTCACTTTGGAGCCCATTTCACACGTAGTGTTTAGTGGACGGTAAATCACATCTATAAGACATCGATCTTTGTTCCGTAACCATAGCCGGCACCAAAGCGAGTCCGGGGCAGAGATCTCTGGGTGGTCAATAAGTTCGCATCGGACTTTAGTGTTGTAATACAGAATTACGCCACCAGCTCTTCCAGCTGTGTCATTCCGAAGCAGTGACATACCGGGTAAATTGACCTCAGAATCTGATATGTCGAGGCTTAATTAGGTCTCTGTACTCATGAGGAGATTATGCGGTTGTGACGCCTGTCGTTCTCTAAGTTCGGCCAACTTACTAAGAAGACTTTGAGTGTTAATATACACTATAATGTTTTTGATGTTGGAAGTGTTTGGGTGGACAACAAATACGTGCTTAGTTTTAAGCCAACCGTTCGTTAGTCGGCCGCTAATCGTTTTTTGCGCTGGGCATTGGTTCTTGAATTTCAGGCAGGCTGCATGGTAGCACGGAGCATTCCAGATCGAGATGTTCTCTCGTGTATCTCCCTATCCAGTCAGGTGTCGTGAATGTTATTTCGCCTACCACTCTGCAGGATTGTAGAGGCGAATACTGTATTGAGGTTGAATATTCCAATGAAGCGCTGCCCGATAGCGGCCGTGCGTCTGCTATTTTTAGCCTAATCTCGGTAGGTAACCTGGAGCGATGCTTCAACCAGCTATCCAATAAGACTTCTGTCGTTAGTTCCGAGTGTAGCACGAGTTTCACTATTTTCGGACCGAAGCCGTTGTAATTTGGTGATTAAGGAATTCTCGTTAATGATTTCGCGATAACGTCGTCCAAAGAGAGCCCTTCGCGGATGTAGCACCAAACCTCTCGGTCATGTGGGGGGGGGGGGATCGCTTGACCCTAGGCGCAACACTGAACGCCTGAAATTATTGCTAGGCAATTGGTACAGAGTAGACCAGTCCCAAAGTCTACCAAGGACCTGTTGCAAATACTGGGGACCATCGAACTTGATCACAGGGAACAGGAATTACAAATCTTCGCCAAACATGGAGGACGGTATGCTTAAAGATTCGGGTAACTCATTTGCGTATAGAGGGAACAACAGTGGGCCAAGGACCGTGCCCTGTGGAACCCCAATAAGGACAGACTGTCGGAATGACATGCTTGAATCCACTCTGACGGACATCTCTCGACCTTCATTGTCATTGTTTGCCACATAAAAGCACTTCATGATTGTGTCAAGTCTGTTCCTGTTCATTGTTTGATAGGTGGCTGCATTGTGGACATCTTGTTCAGGATCTCAGTACATGTATCGTCGTGTTAATTGATAGAGCCAGTAATAGACAGAATAGCTAGAAAAGCATGCATGTCAATAGTAGTTATAATGTATGGGTGGTCAATTTTTGAATGGCCATCAGGTGTTCCATGACAGAATTATCGAAGAAGTCTTCGAATGATTTATACGGTGTAAGTTCTTGCTTTAAGAAGTCAGGTGGACATCTTAGACAATTGTCTGTGAGGCTGTGCCGTTAGACATATGTCTTCTTTCCTCCACAGTCTACATCTGGTATCATTTAGCGTTTTAATTGAAGAAACAGGCATAGAGGAAGTAACTTCATCTTGTACAGTTTGATTACGACTTTTTGGTTCCACTTGGGATGGTTCACTCTTCATTGTAATTACTGGTCCATGAGGCAATGTTAAGCTAACATCCGCTTCACTGAGTAACATCCTTGGTTCATCAAGAAATCCAGCATCCTGAATCATTTCACTGATGTCAGCTTCATTAGAGGATTACTGTGTTTTCTACACTTGCAACTAAAGAAATTATAAATAGAAATATCCAATGCACTAAATCACGTTCCAAGAAGTCCTTAAATCGGTGGCCAGACGAAAATAGGTTAAATGTGGGATTATTTGCAGCAGCTTCCAAATGATCTATTAGTCCACATACCAGGAAGGCGTTTCATTACATGGGCCACACCATCGACCCATCTAGTTAACACAACAGAAACAAACCGCAGCAATTATAAATTCGTTGTTATACGATGAACGAATGTGTGGTAGTTAAGCTGAGTAGGTAAGAATAACCCAATGGAACACTAGCTTTGAAGTCACAATGGAGTGTTGCGTTTACAGTTGTTTTGGTATGGTCTACACGCCACCTGAACTTTTCCCAGAAATGATCATATTAGTAATCAGGAAAATCAGCTCGTCACATAATAGCCATCCATTTACCAGTTCGCACTGTTTCCTTCATTGTAGTTGGGGGGCCATCTTCGATGCGCTGGATTTAGACCGATCGGGTGACATATCCGTGGAGGAGATTAAACGCGTGTTCAACAGAGTAAGGATGCCCATTTTAACCCCGGGAATTATGAGCTGGATTTCGGAATACGATGTGAACAAAGATGGAAAATTGGACTACAAGGAATTTCTCGCATTCATCAAAAAAGGAAAAGCTGCACAAACATGGGAAACATGAGAATGTGATATTTTTTCATACGTATACAACATCACGGATGTAATAATTGTCAATAAAGCCCGGTTAGATCTTCCGATAGATTGGAGTTTAAAAATTCTGAAGATCGTGACACTGTCTCTGGGTAGGCGAAACAAAATCGAGGGAAGGGTGGAGAATTTGCAGTTATACATTTTTTTCAGGCTATGGAGAGCAAAGCAGAAGGTAATTGAACATCCAATAGCGAGTGTTTAGTCGAACTGAGCGTCCACTTTCGAAGTGGGTAACTCAGTGGACAGTTGTGCATTGTCAGTGAGCCACCTGACCAGAGCAAAGAAATTCATGTTCAGATAGAGATTGATGGACATCTCCGTCATTTCTACTAGCAAACCAGTTACCAACAAAAGCTACTTTCCTTTGATCCAACCATACGGTGCCGAAGGCTACAGTAGTATCGGATGAATCAAACATAATTGACTGGAAGTTTGTATCAAAGCAAGATGGAAAAATACCTATACCATTTGTGATACTGTTTCAATCTTAGAAAGTCCCAATAGAATGGAACAACAGAATGATGCTTTATCTTGCCTAAAATGGAAGTGTTTAACAATTACTGAGGCACAACCAATGCGTGATCCACAAAATGGAGACAAAATAACGGGTATTTCGATAAACTCACCATAATGTTCGGACGAAAATGTACATAAAGCGATGTACCTCAATTGTGTGGGGTAATGGAACAATGGTTTCATACGGACAAAATAGTTACTCCTTAACAGGTCCCGTAGGACGGTCATGGCGGAAATTCAAATTATATAAGAATTGTCAGTAAAATTAAGTTTATACTGATGAACTTGAACAATGAACAATAATGTATCACGGGTAAAAAGCAAGTGCTTGACATGTCCCGTAGGATGGTTGGGGTGAATACGATGAAGACAAAATATATGTGGGTCATCTACCGAGCGTCTACCGAGATGAATGTTTTGATAAATAACGTCGGGGTAAAATAATAATAAAAATCTAGCGTAAGCGTTCAGAAATAGACGGCGTGAAGAAAGTAAAGTATGGCACCTCACCCGGGTCAATTTGAGACATAAATCCTGTAGCAAGACATGACTGGCGTTATCCACAATAGGGGAGTTTAGGTAACAAAGTGCTGGGAGCTAAGAGCAACATTTAGTCGCTGTTTGAAAACGTCCAAGGTAGAAGAGGATACAGCTGAGTCTGGCAGTGTGTTCCAGGGTTGGCAAACCCGAAGGGAAAGTGATTACTTCGACACTCTAGACGGCTATATTGATCCCTCAATTTCAAGCAGTTACCCCTGAGCTGTGTGTTGTGGTTAAGGTTCAGCAAGTGGCGACATGCGTGGTTGGGGTCACTCAATATCTGGTACACTAATATGAGATCGCCGTGTAGCCTTCGATAGGGTCCGCTGAAAATTCCCAGCGACTTCAGCCTTCCGTGGTAAGAGTGATAGCGCAGGCCTTTTCCATTCTTTGTTGCTCTTCGTTGTGGTACGTCTAAAGCCTCTAGATCGCGCTTCAACCAAGGTTGCCAAGCTTGGATAGCTTATTCAATCTGCGGGCGTACGTAGGAATTGTGTATCATGGGGAAGATTGGTGGGTCAAATCTCCTGTACGTCCTTCGCAGCATGCCGACGCGCTGGTTGCCTCTTTTCGTAGCTACCTCATCCTGTTTTGAACAGTTGAGTTCACTGTACTAGCACACTAAGGGCACATTCCTGGGAGCTGGTCTGCAATCCGTGTGCCCTAAACAATTACGTGTAGTCATATCTATGGCGTAGTTGCACAACCCGACATTTGTTTACCTTGAATGGTAAGGGGTTTTGAACTGACTAGTTCGACACCGTGTTAAGATCGCAATGGAGCCGTTCGGGGTCGCCCGGCCCTCTGATCCTTCGCCATATCTTGATATCATCCTCGAAAAATAGGAAATCGGAAGCGATCGATCTCGCCAAGTCGTTAATGAACACCAAGAATAGACGAGGTCCAAGCATCGAACCTTGTGGTACACCACACCGCATATCAATTGCATCAGACAATGATTCTCGGACTCTCACCTCTAGCCGTCGTCCGTGTAGGAAAGTGCTAATCCAACTCAGGACTGGGTCGCCAATGCCATAGTTCCGAAGCTTCTAAGGGAGAACTCGGCGGTCTAAGCGATCAAACGCTTTTGAGTAGTCCAGGCAGATGACATCGACTCCTGCTCCATCATCAACTGCTTCAGTCCAGTTATTACGTGCAATTCATAGGTTAGCAGTACATGAACGCTTTTGACGAGTGCTATGTTGCTGTGAGGTCATTAAGTTGTGGCTTTCTAGATACTGCATCAGTGCATCTGCGCTGATTGATTCAACAACTTTGGATAGTACGGGAAGTAGTGTTATTGGACGGTAGTTGGCAGGATCAGTGCGGCTAGCTCCTTTATGGATAGGAGTGATGACCCCTTGCTTCCATACTGGTGGAATATGGTTTTCCTCTAGATATCGTTGATAGAAAACAGCCAGTGGTTCTGCCAGATCACTAGCCACCGTCTGTAGAGCCTTTGATCGGATGTTGTCAGCTCCGGGAGAACTGTGGATACGCAAGGATAACAACTTCATCAACACAGCTTCCGCAGTGAAGGTGATGTTTTCTAAACCAGATGGTGGAGTATTAGAATTGAGGGGAATGTTTGTGCTCGTTACCTGCTGGAAAGTTTGGGAGTAATGAAGCCGTAGGAGATCAGCTGCTTCCATTGCTAATCGCATGCACCCATCAGCCGTGACTAGTGCTGGAGTCCCCCGTTTTACCTTTCGAAGGCCGTTAACGTGCTTGTACAGGAGTTTGCGATTCGTGCAGAATCGCTTCATTAACTTCTTCTGATGAGTGACCTTATCTTCGCGGATCAGTTTCACACAGAAGTTACGATGTGTCACGTATGCAGTCCAGGTTTCGGCATTCGGGCAGTCCTGGTGATTTCGCCATGCCAAATTCCTCTGGGACAGACATTTATGTGTTCTGCACCTCAAAAATGACTTGTGCTTGTTTTTGGGTTGGAAGGACTTCTGTTCTAATGCGTGCACAACCATTGTGCTAAACGTCCTTGTAAATGTTTCCCAGGCAGCATCTGGGGGCATTCGGTTAAGAAAGTCCAAGATGTATCTTTAACAAGCTTAGATAACACATTGTAATGCGTGACAGTATGCACTTTATCCTCCTCCTTTTCAGGGTACTCGGCATAGCATATATAATCAAAGAGTAGAGTGACATGATCACTACGACCCAGTGGTGTGCTTGTAACTATCCCATCAACCATGAGTTCTTCATTAGTTAGCACAAGATTCAGTATCGACGGCTTGTTAGAAGTTCGAAATCTGGTGGGAGAGGTTACGTGGTTGTAAAGAGGGTGGCTAGCAATAAGCTCTTGCAAACAGGCTTTAAACTGCGTACCGTCGGTTGCTGGCGTTTCTATGTCGTGTACGTTAAAGTCTCCCGCGATAAGAATGTGGGTGTAGGACTTGTTCAAAGCAAACTGAAAAACGTGGTGCAGTTTGGAGTCCATTTCAGACGTTGAGTTTGGTGGGCGATAAATCACGGCTAGTAGACATGTGTCCTTGTTTCGCAACCAAAGGCGGCACCAAAGCGATTCGGGAGCTCGGATTTCCGGGTGATCAATAACTTCACATCGGAGGTTTGTATTATAGTAAAGAATCACAACACCACCCCTTCCGGTTCTATCGGTTTGAAGCAGCGACATACCGGGTAAATTGATCTCAGAGTCGATTATCTCAGGGTTTAACCATGTCTCCGTAATCATGACGAGGTCCCGCGGTTGTGAGGCATGGAGTTGTCTAAGTTCGGCCAACTTGCTTAGAAGGCCTTGGGCGTTTCTGTACATGCAAGATAAGGTTTTTGTTGTTAGGAGGTCATTGATAGATGGCAAGTTTGTGTTAGTTTTTGAGCCGGCTCTTAGGTGGCCGGCCATTAATTGTTTTTTGGTTTATGTATTTCACTCGTGTTGCATGACATTATTGAGCGTTCCTGAACAGACGTTTCACTCGTGCTGTGATCGGACCTCCTGTGTGCCGTGGACGCTGTTGTGTCGGTCTCTCCACAGGACTGTGCAAATAAAGTATTTGTTACGTTTGCAAGTTCCATAGAATTGCTTCCGACATTTGGTCGTTCGCCTGCTGCTTTTAGCCGGATCTCTGTTGGCAGCCTAGCATGAAACTTTAACCAGCTATCCAACAGAACCTGCGTCATCCCCTCGGAGTGTAGTATTACTTTCATTAGCCTTGGACCGCAACCCTTGTAGTTAGGTGATGACGGAACTCTTGTCAGGGATTTGACAAAAACATTGTCAACAGACAGTGCTTCGCGGATGTAGCACCACTGCTCTCGATCATGTGTTTGTGCATCGTAATCAGAAAAATGCAGAAGCTCAGGAACACCATGAACAAATTTTGTTTTCTTGCTATCTCTATTAGCAATGCCGCGTTGGTCAACTGCTTCTTTGGGCGATCTTTCCAAGGTAAATCAGGCAATATGCGTACTCCGCTCGGTGAGTTGCGAAGACGGACTGCTGAGAGCAGGACAGCCTCTGTCTCATCTGCTGAGTTTAGTGTTACTCGAAGAATTCGAGGTTCACCAGAGTGCACTGAGCTCGGGTGACGCGCTACGCGTTGCAGCATTGCAGGCTCAACCCAAATGCCAATCGCCTCGCAGATGGAACTTCACTGGTTGCGATCGTCTTGCAACTTGCCTTTTATTGTTCCAGATTTGGATTCGGGAACATTGGTGCACACGAGAGTTAACGCAGCGTGGTTTTGTCTAGCGAGTGTCGGCTTTAAAGTTGTTGCTCGTGTAGGATTACTCTATACTAGTCCGAGAGTGTTCTTGCAGTGGTGTGGATACAAGAAAACCAGAAGAACCGACAAAACAGATGATATTCGTGAAAGGCTACAATCGAACCAAAATCGGATGAAGCGACGAGAGCATATGTCAGTGTCGGAACTCACC